CGTGTCCCCTGACCCTTGTCCCCCCCCCAGGTGCCACCACCCCCCTGCTCGCTGCCCACCCCTCACCGTGGAGTCCCTGCGGGCGCTGTCCCAGCTGCACTCCCCGCAGCGGCCGGGGGGAGGCGACAGCGGCCACCAGCACGGCGGCGACACCCGCATGTGGCAGGAGGAGGACGAGTGCCTGGATTTCTACGGCATGCTGTCCCTGCACCGCCTCTTCGAGGTGGTGGCCGCGCAGCTGACCCCCAGCGACGTCACCGTGCTGTCCTTCCTGCTGGACGAGGCGCTGCGGGGAGGGGACAGTGACAAGGACGGGGACAGCAGCGGGGCGGCCCCGCGGGGCCGGGGGGCGCGCAGGGACCCCCGCGACGGGCTGGAGCTGCTGCTGGAGCTGGAGAGGAGGGGGCTGTGCCACGAGGGGGATTTGGGGCAGCTGAGGCAGCTGCTGCGGCTGGTGACGCGGGACACCTGGGGACACTTTGGGGTCACCTTGGGTCACTCTGGGGTCAGTTAGGGTCACTTGGGGTCACTGGGGTCATTTTAGGTCATTTTAGGGGGCTGGGGGTCACTCTGGGGTCACCTGAGGTCACTCTGGGGTCACTTTTGGTCACTTTGGGGTCACTGGGGTCATTTTAGGGGGGCTGGGGGTCACCTTGGGGTCACTTTGGGTCACTCTGGGGTCACCTTTTGGTCACTTTGGGGTCACTTTTGGTCATTTTAGGTCATTTTAGGGGGCTGGGGGTCACTGGGGTCACTCTGGGGTCACTGGGGTCACTTTGGGGTCACTCTGGGTCACCTGGGGTCACTTTGGGGTCACTCTGGGGTCACCCTTGGGGTCACTGCCCTGGTCACTCAGGGTGTCCCCCATTGGTCACTCAGTGGTCACTCTGGTCACTCTGTGGTCATTCTATGATCACTCCATGGTCACTGTGGTCACTCACGGTCACTCATTGGTCACTCATGGTCACTCACTGGTCAGTCAGGGTCACTCACTGGTCACTCATTGCTCACTCTGGTCACTGTGGTCACTCAGTGGTCACTCTGGTCACTCACTGTCACTCACGGTCACTCAGTGGTCACTGGTCACTCATGGTCACTCTGTGTCCCCCCAGGCTCCAGCTCCGGGAAGCGGAAGCGCAGCCGGACCTCCCGGAATTCCCGAAATTCCCGAAACTCCCGAAGCTCCCGAAATTCCCGGAATTCCCGGAATTCCCGCAGCTGCCGGCGCCGGGGGACAGACTGGGGGGGACTGGGAATAACAAACTGGGACAGACTGGGGGGGACTGGGACGGACTGGGACAAACTGGGATCAAACTGGGGGGGACTGGGATCACTGGGAGGGATAGACTGGGACAGACTGGGATGGATTGGGAGCAACAAACTGGGGCAAACTGGGACAGACTGGGATGGCACCAGTACGGCACTGGGAGCGACAGACTGGGAGCACTGGGACAGAAACCAGTCTGGGACTGGGAGGGACAAACTGGGAATGTCCCAGTGCGGGACTGGGAGGGACAAACTGGGAATGTCCCAGTGCGGGACTGGGAGGGACAGACTGGGAATGTCCCAGTACGGGACTGGGAGCACTGGGACACAAACTGGGAATGTCCCAGTGCCAGACTGGGAGCACTGGGAATGTCCCAGTCTGGGACTGGGAGCACTGGGACAAACTGGGAATGTCCCAGTACAGGACTGGGAGCACTGGGACACAAACTGGGAATGTCCCAGTGCCAGACTGGGAGTACTGGGACACAAACCAGTCTGGGACTGGGAGGGACAAACTGGGAATGTCCCAGAAACTGGGACTGGACAAACTGGGAGAACTGGGAATTCCATGTGAGGTCACTGGGACGCCCAGTCCAGTGCTGGGACTGGGAGAACTGGGAGAACTGGGAGAACTGGGAGAACTGGACCCACGGAGGGATCCCAGGGCTGTGAGTCACTGGGCAAACTGGTTTGTACTGGTTTGTACTGGTTTGTACTGGTTTGTACTGGTTTGTACTGGGAGCATTGGGAATGCCGAGTGCGTGCGGCCAGTGCAGGGTTACTGGTTTGTACTGGTTTATACCAGTTTATACTGGGTTTTACTGGTTTATACTGGTTTTCACATATTGACTGCATTTCCTAGCACGAGTGGGCGTGGCCTTGAGCCGGCCCTGAGTGGGTTGTACTGGTTCTGACTGGTTTGTACTGGTGATAACTGGTCTATACTGACCCATACTGGTTCTAACTGGTCTGTACTGGTTTATACTGGTTTACAGACATCTGTCTTTGTGTCTGAGCTGAGCACTGCGAGCACGACGGCGCTGGGTCATACTGGGTTATACTGGTCCATAGTGACCCGTACTGTCTGTAACTGGTCCATACTGGTCCATACTGGTTCTAACTGGTCCATACTGGTTCTAACTGGTCCATACTGGTCCGTACTGGTTCTAACTGGTCTGTACTGGTTCCAGACATCCGGCTGCGGGTGCGCGCCGAGTACTGCGAGCACGAGTGTGCTGGGCTATACTGGGTTAGACTGGGTTAGACTGGTCCACAGTGACCCGTACTGGTCTATACTGGTCCATACTGGTTTATACTGGTTCTAACTGGTCCATACTGGTTCTAACTGGTTTGTACTGGTTCTAACTGGTCCATCCTGGTTTTTTCTGTATCCAGACATCCGCCTGCGGGTCCGCGCCGAGCACTGCGAGCACGAGCGCGCTGGGTTAGACTGGGCTAGACTGGGTTGTACTGGGTCATACTGGGTCATACTGGTCCATAGTGACTCATACTGTTCCATACTGGTTCTAACTGGTTTGTACTGGTCCATACTGGTTCTAACTGGTTTGTACTGGTCCATACTGGTTCTAACTGGTTTGTACTGGTCCATACTGGTTCTTTCCGGTTCCAGACATCCGTCTCCACGTCCGCGCCGAGTACTGCGAGCACGAGTGCGCTGGGTTAGACTGGGTTAGACTGGGTTCTATGGGATTGTACTGGTCTATACTGTTCCATACTGGTCCATACTGGTCCATACTGGTTCTAACTGGTCCATACTGGTTTTTTCCGTACCCAGACATCCGTCTCCGCGTCCGCGCCGAGTACTGCGAGCACGAGCGCGCTGGGCTGTACTGGGTTATACAGGGCTATACTGGGTTATACTGGGTTAGAGTGGTCCATAGTGACGCATACTGGTTCTAACTGGTCTGTACTGGTTCCAGACATCCGTCTCCGCGTCCGCGCCGAGTACTGCGAGCACGAGCGCGCTGGGCTGTACTGGGTTATACAGGGCTATACTGGGTTATACTGGGTTAGAGTGGTCCATAGTGACGCATACTGGTTCTAACTGGTCTGTACTGGTTCCAGACATCCGTCTCCGCGTCCGCGCCGAGTACTGCGAGCACGAGCGCGCTGGGCTGTACTGGGTTATACAGGGCTATACTGGGTTATACTGGGTTAGAGTGGTCCATAGTGACGCATACTGGTTCTAACTGGTCTGTACTGGTTCCAGACATCCGTCTCCGCGTCCGCGCCGAGTACTGCGAGCACGAGCGCGCCCTGCGCCGCGGCGTGGCCTCCAGCCGCCCGCGGGGCCCGGGCCGCGCGCTGGACGTCTTCGGGCAGGCCAGCGGCGTGCTGAAATCGCGGGACCTGGGCTCCATCCTGTGCGACATCAAGTTCTCGGAGCTCTCCTACCTGGAGGCCTTCTGGGGGGATTACCTGAGCGGGGCGCTGCTCGAGGCCCTCAAGGGGGTCTTCCTGACCGAGGGGCTGCGGCGCGCCGTGGGCAGGGAGGACGTGCGGCTGCTGGTCAGCGTGGACCAGGACGACTACGAGCAGGGCCGGATGGTCCATACTGGTTCCAGACATCCGCCTGCGCGTCCGTGCCGAGTACTGCGAGCACGAGCGTGCTGGGTCATACTGGGTTAGACTGGGTTAGACTGGGCTATACTGGTCCATAGTGTTCCATAGTGACTCATACTGGTCCATACTGGTTCTAACTGGTCTGTACTGGTTTCAGACATCCGCCTGCGGGTGCGCGCCGAGTACTGCGAGCACGAGTGCGCTGGGTTAGACTGGGCTAGACTGGGTCATACTGGGTCATACTGGTCCATAGTGACTCATACTGTTCCATACTGTTCCAAACTGGTCCGTACTGGTTCTAACTGGTCCGTACTGGTTCTAACTGGTCCGTACTGGTTCTAACTGGTCCATACTGGTTCTTTCCATACCCAGACATCCGTCTGCGCGTCCGCGCCGAGTACTGCGAGCACGAGCGCGCTGGGCTGTACTGGGTTAGACTGGGCTATACTGGGTTAGACTGGGCTATAGTGACGCATACTGGTCTATACTGTTCCATACTGGTCCATACTGGTTCTAACTGGTTTGTACTGGTTCTTTCCGTACCCAGACATCCGTCTCTGCGTCTGCGCCGAGTACTGCGAGCATG